TGAAATGCTGATATTGGTTCTGCATCAGGCCATCAGACACAGAGCTGTAATTATTCTACTACATGTCCTCAGTGGGGGGCTGCTCAGTGGCAAAAAGGTTATGTGTTCGATTCCCGGCCTGGGGTCTTTCTGCATGGAGTTTGCATGTTCTCCCTGAGCATGTGTGGGTTCTCTCCGGGTATTCCAGCTTCCTCCCACAGTCCCAAAACATGAATGTTAGGTTAATATTGGGTTCTCTTGATTCTCCTTAGGTGTGAGTGTGTGAGTGAATGGTTGTTTGTCCTGTTTGTCTCTGTGTTGCCCTGCGATGGACTGGTGACCTGTCCAGGGTGTACCCCGCCTATCGCCCGTAGACAGCACCAGCACCCCTTGCGACCCCAATTGGGACAAGTGTGTCAGATAATGGATAGATGTCCTCAGTGGCTTAGTGGAGTTGTGTACCTCAGGAATAAATCCTTAGGCTCTGCTCACTTACGTAAGCTACTCTTTGCAAGCCTATTTAAAACCACTCTATATGTCTCTAAGAACAATTGGTCTTACATCATCCACACCCCCTGTAAAGACTTCATTGGATCCACTGCAGTTTGCCTACCGTCCTGGGATTGGGGCAGATGATGCTATCATCTTCCTCCTGCACCAAGCTCTGACACACCTAGGGAAACCTGGAAGCACTGTGAGGATCATGTTCTTTGATTTCCTAAGCGCTTTCAACACCATCCAGCCAGGACTCCTAAGGGACGAGCTGGAGCTGTCAGGAGTGAACTAGCACATGTCCAAGTGGATTCTGGACTACCTCAGTATGTGAGGGCACAGGGCTGAGTCTCAGATATGTTGGTTTGCAGTACGGGGGTCCCACAGCTAACAGTACTGGCACTGTTCCTCTTTACTCTTTACACTGCAGACTTCTCCATCAACTCCCCATGCTTCCACCTCCAGAAGTTCCTTGACGATTCTGCCATAGTTGGCCTCATCACAGGTGGGGACAACTAGAGTACAGACAGTGAAACCAGGACTTTGTGGAATAATGCAACCTTCTTATTAATGCAGGGAAAACAAAGAGGTAGTGGTAGATTTTCGCAGAAGCAGATCCACCCCACTGACACCGGTGAACATCCAGGGAACGGACATTGAGATAATGGACTCTTATAAGTACCTAGGTGTTCATCTGAATTGCAAACTGGGCTGGACTCACAACACTGAGGCTCGGTATAAGAAAGGTCAGAGCAGACCCTTGCTGCTGAGGAGACCGAGGTCTTTTGGAGTGCAGGGGGCGCTCCTAAAGTCCTTCTATGACCCTGTTGTGGCATCAGCCATCCTCTATGGAGCTTTCTGTTGGAGCAGTGGCTTATCTATAGCTGAGAAAAGGCCACAAAAGAATCCTAACTAAATTAACATCTCTGTTGACTGGATAACTGGAGAGATCCTTCAGTGACAGACTGCTGCACCCTAAATGCACCAGGGAGCGTTATCACAGATCCTTCCTCCCAGAAGCTGGAAGACTTTATAACCCACTGTTCCCAACAACCTCAATAAGTTGCTACATTCATGATGATTTTGCACTCTTAGATCTTAGTCAGATAATAACATTATGCTGTCATTTTGCACAGCTCTGATGTTGCTGCTATTTTCAAATATCATTACTGTAAAAATGTCCATAGCTGTATATTGGTTATTTATTCTGTTTTATATTGTTAAAACACTTTACAGTAAAGTATTTTATTGTCTATCTTGACTCTTCACTATTATTTTATTCTTATACATTTTTCTAACGTCCACATTTGTGACTTTTTTTCTATAATTTTTTTTTCTTTTTGCTGTAAAGACCAGAAACTCCCCATTGTTGGACAATAAAGAGGGATTTTCTATTCTATTTTATTCCTTGCTGATGACACTGAGATGTACATGTTAGGTCAACTCATATAAGCAAAATTTTTATTCTCAGGGTATGTATTTTTGAGGTTAAAGTTCTATATTGTTTTGGTAGATTCTTTGTAATGGAGATTTTATTCTATATGGTTAAATAGATTGTATGTTATAGACCCTAATCTGAGCCCCGTTTTTTTAATATATTTATATTAGGATTGGACATCCCTCTACCTGAACAACTGCCTTCATTGTTTTGTAGATCAAACTTAGTATTTTTCTAGAGATTGTTGGTCCATATTGACAAATTGGCATCACGCAGGTATTCCAGGTTTTCCTGCTGTGATGATGTGAATCTCCTGTTTCACCACATTCATCTATTGGGCTGAGATCTGGTGACTGTTGAGACCATTGGAATACAGTAAACTCATCATAACAAAAAAAAAAAAAAAAAAGAAGTTTAAAATGATTTTTAAATAATTCCTATTTGGCCAACCAAGGTATTGTCTGAGCTACTGCTAAACAGATAATAACATTAAGCAAACACCAAACACTACAATGCCTTTCAGTCAGAGTTGATCTGTTCACAGCCCAAACACAAACTCCCAAAAAAACCTGCCTGCCTTAAGTCAGCCCAGATCTCAGTCTCTTTTTTAACTCACCTAAAAACATAAAACTATTCAACACATTATGAAGAACAGGTCAGAAGTATACAACTCCATTAAATCTAAGAATGATGGCTACACAGACTGGCTCTCAACAAAGCAGGCAGTCCAGCAACATAAATACCTACAAATATTTTCCAATCGTGCCATTGTAGCAAATGTAAAAACGTTACCTTATAAAAACATAAATTTTACTCCAATGTCTCTTGCACACACACACTCCACTATGCTGTCAGTTTTAGATGTGTCCAGACTCCAGAACACCTGAATCAAATTATTTTCTTCCCTATGCAGCCATAAAAGGCATGAAAAAGGATCTTACCGTTGTGTACCATATCAAGTTATCAAATGCATTTACAGACATTAATTTTTTCTCATCCTTTTTAATGTCCTGACCAGAACTATGTTCTTTAAAATCATGAAGCTGCACTCAGATATTGGTATCTCAGTAGTTTGAATGAGCTTTGGTGTCACGCTGTTGGACAGAGGTAGTCCATGATTTAAGGTCCGGATTCGCCTTCTCATTCCTTTTCATAAATATTGTCAGTGTCAGGTTAAGCATCTTAATCAGGCCTCAAAATAGATGCATGGTAGCATTTCCTTTGACAAACAGGTCTAAAATCCCTCTGTCCACCATTGTTTAATGGCCTCTAGACTCCAGGTTAAGGTTGTGTCTCAACCACAGCAGTTGTTGATTACTATGGCCTTTTTATCTTAAAGGAATAGTACACCCAAAACATGATTAGCCTTCATTTTCTACTCACCCCCATGCTGAACAACACTCTGGAGTACTTTTTTG